CGTGCCTGGACACCTACAGAGGATTATCAAATATGCTCTTTCCGCCTATTCTCTTATATTTTTCGGCAATTTGAGGTTTCGGTAAACTTCAGTATGCCTGAACGACTTGTTGAATAAACACGTATTTAAATACCCAGTCACCGGCCTTTTTAAATTCTCAACCGACAGTAATAGTATTTGTAGTGATAACTAGCTTATCCGCTACACCCCTTCCCCTCTTTGCAAAATCTCCCTTCTAAAATTAAAGAAATTTTCTAGATTTTTGAAAATATTCTTTCTAAAATTATGTATATTTTGATTTAAAATTAATCCCCATACTGATCATTAATTTTGAACGGTTTTTGTTCAAAACTTAGACAAAAGTGTCTAGATTTTGGAAAACTGAAGATTAGAAACCACTCGTGGGATTATATCACTCGCCTTCGGCTCGTGCTATAAACCTCCCACGAGCCAAAAAACACTTTTCCGCACTCGTAACGAAATATACTATTTTGAAACACGTGCTTGGAAAAGTCCTTTTTCGTTTACAGATTTTTGTGCGAAAAGTGGCACTTTTCGTCACTTTTAAAGTTGTAAACGAAAAGCAACATTTCGTTTACGGGATTTACTTTTCATTTACGGGATTTACTTTTCGTTTACGGGATTCACTTTTTGTTTACAACAGCTGATTTTACAGTTACAAGTTTAGGGTTCACTTCTATGTCACCGTTTGAAAGATGGCACCAGTCGGTACGTTTTCGACCAATCCAGTGTCATTATTCCTGTAACTATGTGCGCCGCTGAAAACATCGGTCTACTGTCGGACTGAGGAGATCATAGCCCTGAGTGTCAGAGGTGGGAGACAACGATTGTAGTGGGGATTGGAAAAAGTGGGGGTAAATTTGAGGACCACAATCTCCTCAGTTCAACCATACTCGTTTTGACTGAATTACATCAGCCATACGGCAGCCATTACGCGTTAGTCGGTCGCCTCTCATCCGTAAATCAAAAGTATTTGCGAAAAAAAGTGAATTAACGATTAAAAAAACGCAACGAAATGTCAGAATAGGATGGCTTATCCAAACACTTATTTCAAAAAATAGTAAACATTACACGTGTGAAAAAGGGAGAACGTTAAACTCACCGTTTGAAAAATGCCTTCGGCTCGACTCGTGCCCCCTTGGCTTGTCTCGTCTCGTCTATCGCTTTGCTACGCGTGTCCTACCCCTCTCCCTAAAAACATTACCCCACTCGTATTAACATTCTCCCTTTTTTACATTTGTAACGTAATAAACTATTTTATCAATGACTCCAGTCGAGCCATTCCCAGGTAAGCCTCATTAAGGTTTAATTATGACAATCATGTTGCTCTAGAAGATGACTATGTTACACGTGACCTTGGATGAAATCTTCCAATGATTATTCATTTTGTCTAAATTTCTTATTTTCCGCACGGAAGAATTTTGATTAATTTTTTAATGTTGATAATTATTGAGGAAGTTTACTCAAGGTCATAACTGACGGGATCATTTTTTAGAGCAATATGTTAGGTGTATGACTTAATTCTCGGCCTTTTTTCGACAATTTTAACATTTATTTATCAAAAAATGAATACAGATCTCATCTTGAAAATAATCGCCGTCGCTTTGCACGCATTTCTCCCATCTATCGGGCAATTGTCTGATTCCGGTTCGGAAAGAAGCTGTTGGTTTTGGCTGGATGAAGTCATCAATGTTCTGCCGGACTTCCTTAGAAGATTGGAACTGGCGATCCATCAGGTGATGTTGTAGTGCCCGAAAAAGGTGATAGTTAGAAGGCGCAAGGTCTGGAGAATACACCGTATGGGAGAATTTTCCAGCCCAACATGGAGATAACTTTCAGTGTTTCTTTTGCTGTGTGCGGCCGCGCGTTGTCCTGCAGCAAAATACAGTAAGACTCCTATAATTTCGACTCGACGGGGAACGAATTCCAAGAAGTCGAAAATAGTCAGCCGAGCTTTCATTGGCTAAGCGCGCGTAGTGGGCAGGTCAGACAGAGAACGCATTATGTTGCTCTCTGTCTTCAGCCGTCGAGCTACAGTGAGTACATAACCCCAAAGTACATTTTTCATAGGGCTATGCGCCCGGGGGATGATGCACCCATGGGACCTTTCCGTAAACGGAAGGAGTGGGGACGCAGTGACTCCGCCCGTCGAAAATATCCGGCTCGAAGTTACAGGAGTCCTACTGTACTTACCTCGTACTACTACCAGTAAAAGCTCTGTTTTTCTCAATAACATCACTCAATTTCACCAGTTGGGAGTGCCTCAAGTTCTGCTTGTCGAATGACATTTTTATTTACCATGTTTTTGAAGATTGTGTTAATCGGACCACAATCGGGCTTGAGTGGTTTGATAGATCACAGATGGCGCTTTAAAACGCCTTCTATTGCAGAAATATTTTTTAATTCAAATAGGTATTCTGATCAACTTAATCTAGGGGCCGAGAATTAAGACATACACCTAATAATTGTCATAATTGAAACCTAATGAGTATTGCCTAGGAATGACTCGACTGGAGAAATACGTTATTAAAAACATTAATACTTCTCCTAAATAAATGAATACTTACCAAAAATGATTTTTTTCTTAGTGTGGGAATGATAGTCGGTAGAGGCTTGAGTTCCACTTCATTTGAAGCCATTTTGATTTTGCCATGTGTACCTGCGTCTTCATATGAATTCCCTATTGAGGAAAAAATTGTCTTTACAAGTTGATCCGACATTTTATGTGAGGTGACAACATTAAAAAATAGTACATTATGTCATCAGGTGATAAAAGTATTATCTGGCGAATGTGACTTTATAATCCGAGCCGATAGCGAGGATTATAACCACATTCGTCAGATAATACTTTTATCGCCGTATGACGTACAATATTGTTCGTCGCTGGGCCCGAAAACCGCGATCTAACCGAGCGAAGCGAGGTTAGACTCGCGGTTTTCTCGGGCCTAGTGACGAAAATAAAAAGCAAACGCTCACAATTCCAAAACGATTAAAAAAATGCAATCCGCCGTAAATTCAGTAATTATCAAATAAGTTAGGATTCTTCACCATATGCTTCGTCTCGCGATACCCCACTTTTCGCCTTTTTGTAGTGGTGTGCGTGCGCCGGCGTGATTCTCTTAGGGCGCACCAATACTCAGACGGATCCCCCACTCCTCTCATACCGAGACGATTGGAGACTTACACGAAGCAATGGGTTAAGTATCCCCTCCCTCACTGTAAGGTTCAAGTGGATAGCTATGTGAAATAAGCCCCTTTTTCCACTATTACTATTCATAAAATTTGTTTTCGTTGTCATTTACGCATTGATCCCGGAAACAAATTCTTCGAAAAAAAAATCACTCGTCTAATGAAGGACCACTCCAAAATAATTATTGTCCTTCGGTAAAAATATCGGTAATTATGTCCCCAAGTTACCGTTGAAATTTCAGATACAGAAAAATGAAGTGTTCCAGTAATTGCAGATTTTAATTAAACAATTGACTTTCCCATAACGGCTGTAAAAATTAAATAAATTGAGTTTAATTGCGCTCATTTTGAAGCTTTTACAATTACCTTTCAATGTGTTAAAACAATAATTTGATTCTCAATAATGACATTCAATTAGTTCACCTTTTTCTCAATTAATCAAAATTCAAGTGGAAAAAGTGAAATTTTTTGAAAAATCATAACCCGCTGAAAAAAAAATCGAATCGCTCTAAAAATTTTATGAGAGCTTCATCTCATGTACTCCTTCTCAAAAACAATCGGCCGGACAATCGGAAACATGAAATTTTTTTCATTTCGGATTTAACGTGGAATTGCTCAGAGATAGTAGGAAAAAGTCCCCAACGGGCGAATGGTTTTGAGGGTCAAACGAGTTAGAATGCAGTGATTACAAAGGTCAAATAGGAGATTCAAGGCAACTAGGGGTTTGAGCTATAACAAAGAATGAACGGGGCAACCGAAAAAAACAATCGAAAATGCCAAACATGGAGGACGAACGCATTAATTAGAAAGGTAACGGAGATAATTTCTAGGGGTTGCGAGGGTCAAAGATGAGGGTGAAAAATCCAAAAATTACATAACGGTCAAAACGAAGGCTAAGAAATAAGAATTGCAATTAAGGGTTAAGCGATTCGAGTGTGAGGGTCAGAATTAAGGGTCAAAACGTGGTATCACAAGGCTTAGGCACGAAAGTCATAAATAAGGGTCACAACGATGAAGGTCCGAAATCAGATAAGGGCTGAAACGAAGGTTTCAAAATAAGAGTCAAAATTAGGGGTGACAAGAGACAGCCGTGAGGGTCATAAATAAGAGTTACAGATGAGTGTCAGAAATCACGAAATTAGATGGCGGCCGGAATGCAGGTTCAGGGGTAAGTCAGAAATGAGGCTCAAAACCAAGGGTCAGGAGGGTTGGGCGTGAGGGTAATAAATAAGGATCAGTAATGAGGGTCGAAAATCGCAAAATGAAATAAGAATCAAAACGAAGGGTAAGAGATGGAAGTCGAATTTTAAAAAAAGGAAAGAGTAAACCTTAAGAGTCACGAGGGTCGGGTACAAGTGTCAGAAACAAGGGTCAAAACTAAAGGTCACAAGGTTCAGGCGTGGATGTTAGGAATAAGGGTAAAAAATAAAAGTCTAAAACAAGGGTCAAAACTGGATAAAACAAAGGATCACAAAAATAAGTGTTAAAATTAAGGGTCACGAGGGTCAGTCTTACCTTCATTTTTTACTTTCATTTCTGCCCCTTATTTCTCACATTCACGCCTGATGCTACTGACTCGTAGATTTGATCATTGTTTTTGGCTCTGATGCTCCTTTGACAATTATTTTACTCTTATACCTTACCCTCGTGACCCTTATTTAATTTTGCCCCACTCTCCCCTAAATAAATGAGATGAGTAAATCTCCTATTAGACTAAATATTTGCACAGTTTTCATGTGAATGGCAAAGAAAAATAGTGAATAAGGGAATTCATCAAATAAATAAAATCAATTTTTATGACCAGAAATACAATCATTTTTATTCGCTTTAATTCTCAGAAAATATTTATCCAATCAATTAATAAAAATTTTCTTCCACAGTACAAAAACCCTCGTAAATTCTCTCTTATTTACAAACTATTTACATCCAATATAACTCCTCTATCAATATTGACGACTTCATTTCAATTTCAAATTTCGTACTGGAAGTTGTTCTATTTCAAAATGCTTGTGATATAAATGTTTATCAAAAATATGTTTTCACAGGTGTTTGTATATATACTATCTAAAGACCCAAAGTACTTGCATTTTCTTTGCTTTTCCTTATCTATACTAAATGTCAATGTGATAATATAAATCTATCTTATTTACATTGTAGCCAATTTTCAACATAAAAAACGCGGGATCATCTTTATATCTATCATCAAGTCTGACCGACGGTTCAGTAGATTCTCATTATAGTGGCACGCATGGGGAATAGGGGAAGCAAATTCTGAAAATGCGACTGTATTTCACTTTCCCTACCGCGTACCCACGACAATAACTCCTCAAAGAAATGCTCGCTATAAACACTGGAGTGTTTACGTTTTCAGCCCCGTAGGTGGTGGAATGAAAGTGCGTTCGAGCGACGAAAAATTAATATGAGGAGAAATGCAACTATAACGTCCATTGTACTGAGATAGGACCGATTAGATCGCAATCATTGACTTATTAACACATCTCAAATTTCCTAAACATATTTTATATCATATATTATAGCATATCATAATCACATTTTTTCTTTGTACTTCTTCTCTATATCGGGCAGATATAAGATGGAATGGCATGTGGCGATAAATGACTTGTGAATCCGAATGCTCCCAGTCCAGGTAGATGATAGGATCCCCTGTTATCATGAGTCCTCGTGTGCTTCTTCAAGTGATCCTTCCGTCCAAATTTCTTCCCACAGATTAAACATGAGTGGGGTCTCAGTCCTGTATGAATTCTCTTGTGTCTCGTCAATTCCTCATTCCTGGTGAAACTCTTTCCGCAGTTCTCTGCGTCACATTTGAAAGGCCGTTCGCCTAGAATCAAATGAACAATATGAAAACAAATAATTAGAAATATCGAGTTCATTAAGTCAACGATAAGTAGAGAAACATCCTGGGAATTGAACGATCAAAGATTTGGTAATTTCCGAAATAGTTAGGAATACACAAAACGCATAAAAATAGCTGTACGGTAATAATTCTTCATTAGTCATCAATTAATTATAAAACACAAAAATGATATCTTGCAACAATCCGATCAATAATTTGACTAATTTCCCTACAACTGTTGATTTGTGACCAACGGGAATATTTTTAAGCTGAGCCCTTTCGAGCTCTGTAAATGTTGTGATACTGGATCCAGGGAATCTATCCAACATGTGTTAGTTTCATGTCCCTTTTATATTGAGCCCCGTGCTAAATTTATCGTTCCTCATATTCATTCACGCACGCCAAGTGACTATCTCGCCTTTATTGATACACCTGAGAAGACATCCACTAGAGCTCTTTTCCTTTTTCTTTCGAGTGCCCTCAGTCTAAGAGAGTCCTTCCTTCAGAAACAAATGCCTTCGTTTGTAAAGCCTGATCAACTAATCACTCAATTTCTGCTTTCTGCTCCAATTGTTTAGACTGATAGTTTTATAATCTTTGTAACTGAATTTTTATGTTTAATACCATTGAATTGTTTATTTTTGTTACTCTTTTAGTCTTAAGTCCCAAGTCTTAAGTCACCTTATGCATTTAAACTTTAATATATTTTTTATGTATGACCGCGAACCGAGGGGTTACTCACTCCATAATTGAGTGACACCGTGATTTCGAAATGAAGACGATTTCGGATGAATTCGACAGCGATTTCGGTGATTTCGGAAAGAATGATTTCGGTGATTTCGAGCGTCAGATCAGGTGATTTCATGATTTCGAATGATTTCTGATGATTTCGGATTTGATCAATTCGAAATCAGTGATTTCGGAAAAAAATGAAGTCATTGAAATCACGATGAATAAAGTTAATAAATCATAGAGGTGGGGTGTGCACAATGGGTCGTTCTGAATTATGAAACATAAAAACCGCCTACAGGGTTCAATTTCACGAGGGTTACAAGGGTCCAATTCTTCAACAAGGGTCACGAGGGTCAAGCGGTTCAATTCCACGACCGTCAATTATGCTACAAAGATTAGGGCTAAAAAACATGAGTATTTTTAGTCGCTAGGGCGAAGCCCGTTAACTCTTGCACCTAGAATACAAAATAAGAAATAAATACAGAAACACGAAACTAACAATGAGTGAATTCTGTTTTTCACTAAATAAACTTTTCAACAATGCAATTATAAACCTAACGAGTGATCCTACGAGAAAATGTCAAACGAATTTTTTGTAGATGAAAAAATTCTGTACAAAAAATGTTTTATGACTTTTCCCTTTAAAACCACTCTTCATTGAGATAATTAAAAAATTAACAAAGAGTTAAAAAAATCAATTTATCGTTAAGTTTGCGTCTTCATAAAATTACAGTTTGTTAAAAGTGTAAATATTTCGATAAAGAAACATCCGTCGAAAAGGGTCATAATGACTTCTTTGTAGCTCACAAAATTCTCTTGAATTACTTCTTACATAAATTTCATCTATTCTCATAATTTATTTTCAAATGCTACAAGATCGATAATGGACGTGAAATCAGAGTTCTAAATGGCCACTCAAAACATAATCTATAATTTTTATTACGCAATAGGAAATTACTATTAAGTTATTCGAATGGAAAAATTTCTAATCCTTATAATAATTGCCACTTCAAATCAAATAATTCCAAATCAAATAACTCCATGAAATTGGACCCTTTAGACGCTTGAATCTCATCAAACGGAATCCCCGTGACATTAAACCCTGCAGGCGCTTGACCTTCGTTAAAAAGAATCCTCCTGACCCTCGTGAAATTGGTTCTTTCAGGCGCTTGACTCTCGTCAAATTGAACCTTCGTGACCCTTGTGAAATTGGTCCCTTCGAACGCTTGAACCTTGCTGAATTGAACACTAGTGAACCTCGTGAAATTGAACCCTTTCGACGTTTGACCCTCCTTAAATAGAACCCTAATGACCCTCCTAGAATTGAAACCTTCAGGCGCTTGATCTTTATCAAATTGAACCCTAGTGACCCCCGTGAAATTGAACCCTTCAATCGCGTGACCCTCGTTGAATTGAACCCTCAATTTTGACTCTTATTTCTCACCATTTTTTAATTCCGTGGATTTTTATCCTCATTTGACACTTTCATTTGTTACTCTTATGCCTGACATTTTAATTTCAATGATAAAATTCGAAGTTGTACGGGTGGCCCCCTCCAAGATTCATTGATTTCGGACGATTTCGAATGATTTCGGAAAAGATTTCGAAAATGATTTCGGAGAGCCGAAATCACTTGATTCCAGTGATTTCGGCGATTTCGGAGTGATTTCGGAATGATTTCGCACCAGAGTGGCGCCATGATTTCGGGAGTGAGTAGCCCCTCGCCTCGAACCCCACCTGCTATAGAGAGTCAACCCCTAAGTGGCAGGCAAATACATAATAATAAATAATAAAATAATAATTTGACTAATTGATTGACTTGATGTGGGTTTGATTAATAAAATTGACTAAAACCGGCAAGAAGTCTCTGAATAACTGAAAAGCTAATTGTTCAAACAAAAATTCAATTGTTCTAGTATAGTTTTTCTATTATACATTTTCAACGCCTACAAAAATTGTTTATTTATTCTTTTTCATTCACTAGTTTCCGATCTATTCACAGAATCCCTGAATTTTCAATTTCTTAACGAATTTATGAAGTTTACAAAAAAAAAACATATAAAAACTGTTCTCGATGAGAATTCTATGGGCTATCAAAATTGCAATTCATAATTTTTTTCTCGAAAACTGCTTGGTGCCAGGAAAAATTTCAAATAGATTTTTATCGAAATTTTCAATATTTACAATAAATCTTTGGTAACAGTTTTTTAGCTTATATTTTTCCAAGATTTGTACAGAATCATTGCATTTTTTACTCTTCAAAGAAATTGCAATTTTTTTTTCAAAATTATCGGGTCAGCTAGTGGATTCATTAAAATCATGTAATTAATCTTTTTTCCTAATGTAAACTGCTCGGTTAAAAAAAGGCAAAAAAATTCTTCCGACTTGAAAAAAAGGAAAAAAATTTCAATATCCACAACAAATATCAATAATATTGCCATCATCTTCCTTCCCAGAACTCATGATAGACTTTCCAATAACCACAAGCTTATAGGACCTCCAGGTCCTGAAAGTGCGGAAACTTGTAATAAACCCACAAAATTATACCAAGAATTCCACTGCAAATACTCCAATCTTTGAGAACAAAAGACTGACTTCCTTAAATCAATCAATCTTTGAGGTAATACCAGGTTGCATGAAGGATTAGCAGGTACAAATGGCAACCCCTCACAATGCAGAGTAAACAATGGTCATGTTACTACTCACCGGTATGTATTCTGATGTGTCCCTTGAGTTGTCCATTGTTGCTGAATGCTACATCACACTGCTCGCACCTGAACTTTTTGGGTCTCAATTTCTTCATCTGCTTGGCGACAGCATCCTGGTGGTGGATCATCTTGACAGCCTCCTCCATGCTTGGATAGTTACCCAGGGGCATATGCAGGCCATAGCCATATAAATGTGCCTGATAAACCTCGAGTTGCGCGGCACTTTCGCTCCTCAGAGACGCCAAATAATTGGGGTTAGCCGGCTGATAAGTCGGCGTGAAAGCAGACAGTGAATCGTTGGGGGCAGATAAGATACTTGACGAACTGCTTCGTCCTGTTATGGAATTATCCGCTGAGGACTGAATCTGACTGTCTTGCGTTGAGTTGAAGACAAAGTTTGAGAGCATGTTGAGACTTCCAGATTCAGGAAGATCATCACAACTTACTGTTGAGCATGAAGACACACTATGTGGGTTGGATATTACACTCTCGTTATCCTCGTCTCGTTCACTTTTCATACTAGGAACGCGCAGGGGCTCTTCTAGATCAACGGATGCTCCGTTCCAAGGTCGGAAAAATGATTTTTTTACTTCACACATTTTTTTACAAATAGTGTTTTTTTAGTTAAAAAATCGCTGTCTTCTCTCAAATTAAATTAAAATATTTATATCAGGTTCAATTATTAATTCACTGGGGTACTTGTACTATAAATTAAAGGTACGTGTAAGGTATGTATTTGAGGCACTACGCACTAGACAGTTCTACCTCTGCGGCGTTACTATTAGGCTGGGGGCGAGCACAAGTGTATTATATACACCACAGACTGGGGGTGAGTGTTGGTAGGGGCGAACGCCCCTCCTTCAGTGGATTCTCATTGGGGCAGACGAGGGTTGGAGGGAAGGCCGGAGGCGCTGTGGATGGTTCGAGGATTTGGGGGACTGAGAGGCGAGGTTGTCATGTAGAACCAGGCACGAGGGATTTTTTCCTGTGGATGTGGTGTGAATTAATTGGCAACCACGGAAAGAGCATGAGAGCACGGAAAGAGCTGGGGTTTGGGGTGAATTTTAAAGAGGCATACGTGCCCACATGAGAAGGGTGGGATGTGGGCTGATCGGCATCTTATTTGATTTGAATTTTGCGTTACCAAGTACGAATGGATAGTTGGAGAATTCATTCGTTTGTTCTGCGGTAATGGTCTGCATTGGAGGGAAATGGTTCTTTTGTTTTTCGATTTTCCAATTTTCTTTTTGTACTAGTTTCGTCAATTTCAGACGTTAACTAATATATATATATATATATATATATATATATATATATATATATANATATATATATATATATATATATATATATATATATATATATATATATATATATATATATATATATATATATATATAAGTATATACAAAAATTTCTCATCATCCGTTAAGGATATCCAAGTACTTCGTTCAAATTGGCAACTTTTTTTTAAGCAAGATTTTAGTTTTGTCGAAAATCTTGCCGTCCCCATACTTTTTCGGATTTTTCATTGTCGAATACATTTTTTCAGGAATTTCTTCAATGAATATTGTGAACAATATTTTATTTAATTTTACACTTGACTCTCGTTGGTCTAACCTCTAATGATCATACGGCAACACTGTACATGTGTTCCATATAACCTCGTAAATTCGGTCCGAGTAATCACTTGAGCGGACTGTTGCCAGACGTCAGGAACGCATGGATTCAAACCACCCAATATGGCCGTCGTATCAATCAAGAAGCTTTTAATTTGATTGTTTGCAATTATCTGTCCGGAAACTTATGTTTTTTAATGTCGCAAAAAAAATAGAGAATATAACGAACAAAGTCCTATACGGTTATGTGTACGAGAAAACGCTTTAAGACTATGAACTATTGGATTGAAGGTGGGAGTATACAGCTCTTATGGACGCAATGTGTTAAATTTCATTCTTTCAAAAATCGTTTTCTCGAAAATATGTTCGGAAACTAAAGTTTATACTGCGCCTAAAAAATACTCTTGGTCTAGTCTATAAACTCTGAAGGGAATTTCCCCCAGAGAAAATTGCCTGAACTACTGGGATATCCTTAAACGTATTAACGGAGAAATTTCATAAATCGCATCTTCTCATTCTTAGACTTATTTATATGAGTCTAAAAATTCAATTATTAAAATGATAATTCAATTATTTTATTTTATGGAAAGATGTGATTCATAAAAATTTTCTTCATTGTCTCTAAAATACAACTTTTTGCAATACCTACCTAAAAAGTTCACTTTTCAAGTGTATGTTTTCCATGCGACGTGTGCAAAGTTCAAAGGTTGAGCGTAAGGATGATGCCACAATGGACGCATCGGGAAATTTACGCAATCCGCGAAACAATCATACAACTGTTTTTCAGTTATTTGTAACAATTTCAAGCATTGCGCACGTTTGACGTTGCATTCATTGCAGCATAACCCTTAAGCTTCTTTTTCCCTTGAACTTAACACACTCCGCTTAAAAACAGCTATTTCCGGCCGAGTGACAAACATCATTTTTCGTGTCACGGGACCTGACAAATTAATATACACACCTCGCCATGGAAAACATATCACCCTCCCCCAGGTGCAAGATTGCCTTCCGAGCCGTACGCGAGGATGGCAAGCACGTGAGGAACGGTGCTCTGTTTTGCAAGACTCGGGCATGTAATGTACTATTTCTTCACAACGTCCCTAAACGGCGTGTGACGGACACGAAGTGATACAAAAGTGTGATACAAAAACAAAAACTTTACACTCACTGCATCCTCAGCAGGTATTATAAAAAATAAAATGTGTTACCCGTGGATGCAAAGAAGTGGAACTTTGAGCACCAGTAGCACAATATACTGTTTTGTCCTTTGATTCAGAAAAGTAATCTTCTTCCATTTTTCTTTGATTACGTATTAAATTAATTCACCAATAAAATTTTTCTGGTAACAATAAATATGATATTATTCCTTTTTTCTTCATTTACACATTAAATATTAAGAAAAATAATCAGCAGTGGTTTTTATATATTTTTGTCATTGCGGCCGTAAGTCAGCGCTTTACGTCCGTTATGACAAAAAACATCCGACATACAGCCTAAAAAACTTTTCCAACTCATATGATTGCAACCTTCACCTTGGATTCGGGCTGCAANAAATGTGGTAATTCAAGGCTTGAATCAAGCCTTGGCACCGAGCCTCGTTCAAGCCTTGCGGACTAAGCCTGAAACGAGGTTATCATTTTAGGGCTAACAGAGGATTGATCCAAGGCTGAGTCCCAGCCCTGATTGAGCATTTCCGAGCCTTGGTCCAGGGCATGATGAGCCCTGTTTCTATCGTCAATTCTTACCTGGGAACCAATTCTACTACCGAATTTGTAATTTAACGACACATTGTTGCAGCAAAAGTGTAGTAATTTTACAAACTTTTTTAACACTGTACATCACTGTTCTTTACCATCGATTCAGTTTATATATTTTAATTTTACCATTTTTTTTTAACATAATTGAAAAGACAATTTTTTAAATGCGAAGTTTAATAAAAAATACTGTTACTCAAAAAACTGTTCTGAACCACACGTGGCAAGTTACTTTGAGATGAAAAATATATTTGTTGTTGCTTTCTTTTATGTTAAAAAGTGTGGAGGTGAATAAATATTTTACCATTTCTATAACTTTGAAGTTTGTTTTGTGAATACATGAAGCTGCAACGATCACAACCCCAACAAAAGAGAACTCTCCAAAACTCCCCGTATCAATACCCTTGAGAGGCTAGCACGCACTTTTGACATTCGTCCGAATAAACTCTAAAACCGTATACACACAGTAGTCCTCACACATGCCCCGCTACAGTAATAACCGTCGGTGGGAGCAAGAGGAAACGACTAGACAATCGAGAATTGTACGATTTCAGCGGGTGTGTCGACCCAAGTATTACAATAAATCAACGGGCACCCAGGCGCTCCACCCCCACATCGACCTCTGGTATATATAGATGCAGGCACATGACACGGGGTTGCAAATCCATTCAAACCACCATTGTACAACTGAAGTGGCTGACTTTGCTGACGGAAAATGTTTCAACTCCAAAGAAAAGTAACAAATATATCAAAAACACTTCAAAACAATTATCAAAAAATATCAAGAGAAAATGAAATTGATAAACCCAAGAGCAAATTCATTCCATTTCCCTCCATTTTGTTTTATTATAGATCTCACAGCACAAGGCCAATTACGAGATCAAATTCAAATTTGCAAAACGTGCAACAATGAATTAGACTACTACCTTACAGCATACGCATGGTGCACTGCAAAGTCAAGTGGGTAAATTTAACACGTTTTAAAGTGTGTATAAGTGTGTAAAGTGTGTATATGCAACTCACATGAAGTGTGTAGATGTTACGTACCATATGCGTGTAAAAATCGGAACAGGGCTTTTTGCCGCCAGTCTTGGCGCCAAATATTTTGGCGCCAGATTTTTTGGCTCCTATAGCTTTGTTGGGCACTTTATGTCATCAATAACAAAACTTAAATCCCTTTCGAATAATTAAAAATTTTATCACCGTCACGAAACACTATCAATTTATAAATTTGGTCACGCTGACCCATTCAAGATCTGCAAATTTTGTAGAAATCATTTTGTTTTCATTATTGAGTGCAATTCAATTATTGAAGGAATTTTTTCATATGCGCCAAAATTACTGTGTGTGCCAAAACAAATCGGCGCCAAAGTGTATCGGCTGTAGCGTTTTTTAATCCCTTTTCCTGTAACAAAGGAATATAATATGAAAAAATTAGAATATACATTGAGCTTTCGAAGGGAATAATCAGAGGATATATTCAAAATTCCTCCTTTATGTATTTTAGAATGCATTTTCCTGTTCCCATTATAGTTAACAGATATCATTTATGGGAAAAAAATTATAAAAACATATCAAAACTCAAATTTTTCAAGTTTTTGAAAAGAAATCTGTTTTTTCGTACCTGTATTCTTTTGCCACGTGAAGATTGGAAAATAATTTGAATCACTAATTTTAAAATTTTTCAAATTTCACTGTCTCCCACTGTGTCACTTTATTGCTAGTTAGTTGAACACTGTCAGGAAGTACTCAACATTTTGAGCCATCTTGTTAGCAAGAAAAAATTTCGGGGAAGAAAGAGCAATGGGTAAATGTAATGAAAAAAAATCTGACAATGAGAAAGAACGATAACGGGCAAAGGAATGCAGTCTCGCCTACGACCCCTGGTCAGCACACATGCGCGTCAACTACTCTAGCTTGGACCCGCCGTTAGTTTTATGATCGAATCATAGAAAAAAGGATTTCCAGGTAGATTCAACTTTTTTCTATGCAAGTTGAACACTTAAGCAATTAGAACCTTCGTCCTGAAGATTATTATAAAGATTAGTTATGCATGTGCTCTGTGAATGATGACACTATACAGTATAGATTTGGGGGTCATCGAATTATGGAATTAATGACTCTGCATTGAGAATCTTTAAAGATTTTTAATGTTCAAGAAAGGTTAAAACGTTAACCCTCTTGCCATAGTACAAATACAAAATTCTACATAACTATTATAATGATAATTATATCCTATGTTTGATTTATTTTTATTTTTTTATTGGTTCATCTGAGTCCGAAAGCGTCACGCAATAATGGGACTCATTAGGTACACGGGAATGGTATCGCGTATGGTAAAAAAATAAATAATGGTTAATCATATAAATTTTGTGGATGATGGCAAAA